TAATGAAATTAACTGATTAGTTTCGTTGGAGAAAGTTCGTCTTTGCGTACTAAGGGCTTCTGTTTGGTTCACGAACTGCCTTAAAACTATTAGCAAATTACGTCCCTCTGAAAATCATTCCGCCTGCATGTCTGTCTGGCCACGGGTAAAAGTATAGGTTCATGGACTACTTTCGGAGATTGATTGATCGTATTTAGAGTAAGATAGTACGATGTGAGAGACAAGCATATAGCAATCATATGGATGAGTGAACTATAGTGCGTTTCAAAGTTTGTGACCTCACACACACTTTAACAAATATCTCAAAAACTCACTTACGGGTGAAGTCGATCTTTTGCACCTGGCATTAGGTTTCCCATTTCCCATTTTTCCATTTCCAGGCCAGTCATTCAATTTTAGAGACAAGATTCCGCCCTTCCAAACACCGATTTCCTGTTTGCTGTGTCGTGCTGTTTTCTAGTCAAGTGTCCATGATGTTCAGATCTTCCATGATGTCAATATGTCTGTTTTATGTTACGTCCATGGCATGCTCAGAACTGTCGTATGGCAGTTTTGTCGCGCACCTTTACTTAGGGATTATTTTCGCAAATCCCTCAGGTGCTCTGAGACAGGGGTGTTTTGAATGGTGGCTCTCGTTCATCTAGAGGCCTAACCCTCGGTTCAAACTTTCCATTCAACCTGTCTCAGGAATGAGGTGACTCGAGCTCTGACTCCACAGGGTTACTATGAACTCTTGGGTACCTCTCGGCCAGACATCCCCATTACTAAATTTGCCCCCAGACTGGTAAACAACGTAACACAGTCAAATATATAGACAACAGTGAATATGACAAGACTTGAACACCTTTCTGACTACGACAATTGATTCACTAACACCAAACCTTTCGAAGAACAGAAAGTCTTATGAACTAAAACTTCAATGTATTCAATACTTCATCACAAGAAAGATTAAAAGTAGCACGAAGAACTAGAATGATTGTTCAAATCTCTGAAGAATAAAAGATAGAGTAAAAGTCTTTCTACAGGGCTACATCCATTTCCGGAATCATCATCGCATGGAAGTCTGCGACAGATTATAAAGGCACATCTGGAATCAAGCCGCTATATGATGTTACTCTGACTTATCTGGTTGGATCCTGCAGCTCCTCAGGGTGCCGGAAGGTGGAAATCTGCACGTCTCACTTCTCAGAATGTCTCCCCACGATTGATAATACTTCTGGGATTGATTAAGGACAATCAACTCCCTAGAGACTGGTGGATGTAGACTTCACATACAGTCAAGCATATTCGGTAATGGCTGATCAACTCAGGTCGGTGGCTTCCCCGGTGTTGGTTAGTGGAAGAGCACGACTACGCCACGGATGCTTGTTGGATCTTCCAAAATCCTGAAATTAACAAGGCAACACACATGAGCGAACCGTACCTAATGTACCCCGTTAATCACTCTCCTCACACTCTCCACATGCTCAGACGTAAATGAAGGCCAGTCCAAACCATGAAGGTTGACTTCCTATATCTTGGAACCCGTGCAGTTTCCAGAGTGAGCACTAGAGTCGTACGTACCTTTCCATTACCTCGAATAGTTTCTGAATTCAGTCCTGTAGCGAAAGCCAGACAGATCTCTATCATTCCCCATCCCTTTAAATATACCCTTTTCACTAGTTGGAAAGATAAGGTATAGGAGATGAAGACCAAACCAAGATAGAAGGAAATATTCTCCGAAAGCATTCCTAGAATAAGCTTGTTGTGGTTACAGTAGCTCCTAGCAACAGCGGATATGACGTCATGCCTGACCCGAAGCTTCTTGTCCTTTCCAACGGTCCAGCGACTCAATAAGTTCAGAGACCGAATAAAAGATAACAACTGATCATACAAAGTTAACAATACCATAAATACACTCCCGATATGTGGATTGATTGATCCGAAGAGGTTTAGAAAGCCGGCTCGAAGAATTCACCGAGAAATTGCAGCCGAAAGTGCATTCCAACCAGGATCGCTATCTGTCGTCTTTCATCGCAGGCGATCGTAGACAAACAGATTCGCATTCTCAATCTGCTGACCTTTCTTACACACACATACAGGCATTGAGCACAAATATTCAATTAAATCCTTTTAGGAAAACTCACCCATGACAAATGGATAAAGAGAATAAAGAAGCTTGTTTTTTTTTTAACGTTCAAGTGGCTACAAAATGCAACACGTTCGCTCACTTGAACGGACTACGAAGAAGTGACGTTTAAAATTATAGTCCTTATCTACGACAGTTGGTGTGAGAATATGGCTCAAGTACGCTGTGAAGCGGTCAGACAATTAATCTTATATAGGCGTGGAAAATGTGTCCTAACATGTAAATTGACACTAAAAGCCTAAAAGAAACAATCTAAGAGTGATTTATATAGATTTCTCCCATCTGGACTCCCCCACAACAAACGAACTATATAACTACGGTCGGACCATCCGATATCATAGTTACAATGACGATTTCGGGGGTGTTCAGACTGTGGGCCTGCCTATTGAGGTAGGTGTGTTGATTCTGTCATGTGACAAGAATCATCCATGGTAAGCTAAGAATCGTCCATGGTTTGCTAAGAGTTTTTCAAAGTATGCTAAGAATGTTCCAAAGTATGCTAAGAATGTTCCGTAATATGCTAAGAATGTTCCACTGTACGCTAAGAATCCTCCATGGTATGCTAAGAATCGAACATCGCATGCTAAGAATCGCCCATTGTATGCTAAGAATCGCCCATGGCATTCTAAGAATCGCCCAACGTATTCTAAAAATCGTCCATTGCATGCTAAGAATCGCCCATTGTATGCTAAGAATCGGCCATGGTATGCTAAAAATCGTCCATGGTATACTATAATCGCCCATTGCGTGCTAAGAATCGAACATCGTATGCTAAAAATCGCCCATGGTATGCTAAGAATCGCCCATGGCATGCTAAGAATCGCCCATGGCATGTTAAAATCGTCCATGGTATGCTAAGAATCGCTCAAGGCATGCTAAGAATCGCCCATGGTATGCTGAAAATCGCCCATTGTATGCTAAAAATCGTCCATGGTATGCTAGGAATCGCCCATGGCATGCTTAGAATCGCCCATAGTATGCTAAAAATCGCCCATTGTATGCTAAACATCGTCCATGGTATGTTTTGAATCGCTCATCGAAAGTCGCAGTCTCTGTCAATACTGACTTTGATTTGCATGCAGGCGCTTCGTCATAGACTGCCAGTGTTCGTTAATCTTTACAGTTTGTTTGCTATATTTTAGTGACCGATTTACTATTTCCATAATGGAGTTTGGCTGCAGTTGGTTTGTGTATTGAGTGTGTATCATTAGGACATTCCCACACGATGGAGTTATGCTGCAGTTGGTTTGTGTATTGACTGTGTATCATTGGGACATTCCCACACGATGGAGTTATGCTGCAGTTGGTTTGTGTATTGACTGTGTATCATTGGGACATTCCCACACGATGGAGTTATGCTGCAGTTGGTTTGTGTATTGAGTGTGTATCATTAGGACATTCCCACACGATGGAGTTATGCTGCAGTTGGTTTGTGTATTGAGTGTGTATCATTAGGACATTCCCACACGATGGAGTTATGCTGCAGTTGGTTTGTGTATTGAGTGTGTATCATTAGGACATTCCCACACGATGGAGTTATGCTGCAGTTGGTTTGTGTATTGAGTGTGTATCATTAGGACATTCCCACACGATGGAGTTATGCTGCAGTTGGTTTGTGTATTGAGTGTGTATAATTAGGACATTCCCACACGATGGAGTTATGCTGCAGTTGGTTTGTGTATTGAGTGTGTATCATTAGGACATTCCCACACGATGGAGTTATGCTGCAGTTGGTTTGTGTATTGAGTGTGTATCATTAGGACATTCCCACACGATGGAGTTATGCTGCAGTTGGTTTGTGCGTTGACTGCAAACCATTGTGCAGTTTCCACACAATGGAGATATGATGCAGTTAGTATGTGTATCAACTGTAAAATTTCCACACTGGAGTTTGTCTGCAGTTGATATGTACTTTGACCTCTGCCTTTAGTGAAATGGAGGCTAAGACCTTAAACGTTTCCATGCTACGACTCTGGTAGCACTCTCAAGCACCAAGACCAAGGGTATTTTTTCGAAGCCGCCCCTGCAGAAATCGGGCCCTGGTAAGCGGTGACTTGTTAGACGAGCTCACTAACCTCGAAGCCAAACAGCTGTACCTGTTTTAGTATTTTGATGTAAATTACATAAAGTTAAAAAGGAAATGCCGCTTTTCAATTTTTCAGAGCTATCTCAATGTTCAAAAGCCATTTTCTCGAAACAATGATTCAACACGCCGGTGACTTTAGCATGGTGCTATCGATACGTAAATAACGATGTGTTTTGTTTTTCTTCTTCTTCTTCTTTTGTCATCATTTGATATGATGTGCCATTAGAGTTCGCAGTTTAACAGATGAAAGTGAGCAAAGCTAGGGCTAGCTCGGTTGTTTGATATACTGTTATGTTGTGAAGTCTTAATCTGTTAGTTCATATTCTTCTATATATACTATTGGTATTTAAATTTGCATTGTAACTATTTACTTTTCATGCCCCAAGAAGCGCATTACATCTGTTCAGCCACTGTCTGTGTGCATCATGCCCAAAATGGTGTGTAATTATTTCATTTAACTTGGTCTGCACATACTAAAAAATCTGGCGTCACATTTGCATATGCAGTACATTATATAATGCCGGTTTGAAAGTAAGAAGCTGGTTCTGTTTCAATGTGGTAATTGTTTTATTTCGGTTGTCTGTTTTGGAAAAAAACTTCTTCTTTACGTCCTCTATTACGGCTTCGGGTGTCAAGGGAGATATAAGATCCCGCTACATTCTCTTCTGGCTGTTCGACCATCGACACAAAGTGGTGCTGTTGAGTTTCTCTGATGTTGTCTTCCCATTTTGACTGAAACTCGTTATTTACATAAACTAACCAGCCAAATATATTTGTCCATTTCAG